GCAAGGCAGGCCATGTGTCCCCCTAAACCCTGCCTGGGGTCTGGGGAAGTGAGAAAGAGCCTTTGGTCACCCTGAATTGTAACACAGTATAACAGGAACATATAAAGAAGGTGAAAGTGATCGCCGGGTGGTGGTGCTCACCTTTAATCCCAGCACTTGGGAGGCAGAGCCAGGTGGATCTCTGTGAGTTTGAGGCCAGCATGGTCTACAAAGTTACACAGACAAACCCTGTCTCAAAAAAAAAAAAAAGTGAAAGTGTTCAAATCCATGTGGTCCTTGTTCATTTCACTGGATGAACTGGGCAGGTAACTAGGCTGGGGATTCCATGGCACCCGCAAGACAGGGACACTCTGAGTGGAAGTAGAGAAGCCCTTTCCCCCTCCTGTCTCACAGCCTGTCCTCCTCCAGCCACCCAGAGCAGCCAGGCAAGGAGGTTTTCCCATTGGTCATGGGCAGCAACAAGCCACTGTAAAATGAGCGGTTTTTGGCTGTTGCCATGGCAACCAGCAATGGCCAGACTTCAATTAGGAAGGTAGAATAAAAGGCACCCTCTTAGGAGAAGAAAACGGGATTTAGTCTCTTCCCAGGGCCGAGGAAAAGCGTCACCAGAGGAGCCTGGGTCTGGAAATACTTTACTTCAGTGTTCACCATGTTCCCTAAACCTTTTTTGTCACCAATTGTGACCTCCAGGGAGCTCTGAGCTAGCACAGAAAGGGCACTGAGGGGCTTGAATGTATGCCCTGCAGACAAGGGTTCCAAATACAGCTCTCCCACTGTGTAACTGTGTGACCCAAAGCAAGATCTTTGTCTCCGTGACTCAGTTTCCCACTGGTACAAAGTACATATTTTATAAGATGAGTGAAATCAATGGGCAGAATGCTTGTCAGGACCTAATTTAGTGTCTGCCAGAAAATGTCATCCAACTGACATTCACTTTTGCATTTGTGTCCATGGTAACAAAGGTGGAGTTTCTGTCATGGGCTGAGCCAGAAAGTGGCTGACGCTCATGTCCATTGAGGACTTAAACTGTGTAGATATTCCGTCATTCTGTGTCAGTGTTACACAAAGGGCGACCTGGGACTGTAGCATCCCCAAGCCCTAGGAACTTGTTAGAAATGTAGGTTCACAAATTTCCATCCCCATTTTGACCAGAGCGGCAGGTGACTCACAACACCTGCCATTTGCACTGAATCTGGGCAGCACTGCAGTAGTGCTTCATCGGACACGAGTTCAAATGGCACGGTTGGCAATAAGAGCTGCATTACAGATTTGGGAATGCAGCCTGGGCATTGGAGACTCTCAGGTGGCAGGGCTGGCAAAGGCTATTCTGGTTATTTATCCTTATATCCTTAAAATGCAGTCCCCAAATTTCCCAGCAGAAAGGATTCTCCATCACAAGCAGACCCAAGTGAAGAAGGACAGCTAAGAGTCTCCCACTCAGGGTAAAGACCCATCCATGGCTGTCACTAGGAGAAAAGCTAGCTTGCAAGGGAGGCAGCAACTGCCATCATTACTTTCTCAGCATCAAGACATGGATGCAGGGAGAAGGCTCAGTGTCATGGACAAATGTCTGGCCTATCCTCTACATGAGCTCTACATTTTCTTCTGTCATTTGAACCTACCCACTTTCAGCACAGCCCACACCACAGTTTGCCTGTGTGTTAGCCACCAGTGTTTGCTCCGTGTGTGTGTGTGTGTGTGTGTGTGTGTGTGTGTGTGTGTGTGTCTGTGTGTGTAGGGGGGGCTCTCTCACCAGATCTCCCGTGCCCAACATAGACACAGGCACCTAATAGGCTCCCAGCAGAGACCAGGGAGAGCAGAGCTCTCTTTTAACTCTAAAGCCCACATTGCTTTAAAGACACTGGGGCTGTCATTTAAACACTTGGAAATGGCATCAGAGTTAAGGCAGGTTTTCATTTTGTTCAGTTCATTTATATCCCAGAAGCCCCTGGGGAGGGGTTACTCAAGGTTGAACAACCTTGTATTTAAGTGTATGGCTTTCATAGGGCCATTGTATCTCCAATCCTGGCTCCTGTCAGTGCAGAGAGGAGGAGGGAGCCGGAGGAGCAGGAGGTGTCCTGTTAACTGAGAACCTGTGTCAGACACATTGTTACATGCTTTTTATACATATTTAGAAGCCTCACAGCAGTGACCAGTGGGCAAACAGGAGGCACTGTAGACAAAGAAAGTCAAAAGCAGAGGTGTTAAGGAACTTGCCCATAGCCACTCAGCTAGACCTCAAGTGGTAAAGGGGGGGTTTGAACATCAGGCTGTTTTTACTACTCTGCTCTTCTTGTGTGATCTCTAATGCTGCAAGGTGAAGCTGAGGCAGATGGCATGTACTTCCAGGTCCTTCAAGCCTGCTACTCCTCTCACACTAGGGGCTCTCACACACAAGTCTGAGACCACTCCTCTCTATGGAGGCATCTCTCCCTGACACCCAGAATGACATGACACATACCCAACCTGTATCACCTTTATGCCCTAAGGACTAAAGGCCAGCTGGACAGACAGACAGAGACAGATTGAGCCCTCACCAGGCACTCCTCTGCATGGCTCCTGTCAGTGGTACAGACATCTACTCGTAAGGTCTTCTGGTGAAGGGCTGGGTAGGACATGGACACCCAGAATGCCTCATTGAACACGAGGGTATCTGCAGAGTCCAGAGGCCGGGTTCTGAACAGGCAGGTGCTGCTTTCAGAGCAAGGCAGGATGGCTACACGGATGTTCCTGGGGAGACAGAACCATCAGAGATCTGGGTCAGCTGTGTGGGGCTGACATATTGCAGAAATCCACAGGGAGCCAGCTGTGAAGGAGAGCATGCAGAATGTCTTATGTGAGGGATTCAGGGAGGGCTCTGGGGTACCAACTGCTCTTCCTGCCATGGGTCTCCAAATTCTCAGAATCTCAAAGGTTGTGGAGGCCAAGGCACACTGTGTGCAAACATCGATAGGCAGCAGTTCACTAGCACTGAGCAATGGTGAGAAGAGGGGCACTCACACACTCATCTCTGCAAGCAGGAATTTGACAATTCTGTTTTGTGTGTACATGTAAGTGGAGGCCAGAGGTCAACCTTGTGTGTCAGTCCTCACATGCCATCTAGCTTTTTTTTTTTTTAAAGATATTCTCTCATTGGCTTGGAGCTTGCCAAATAGGCTAGGCTGGCTGGCTACTAAGCCCCAGGGATTTGCCTATCTATACCTCCCCATTTCTGGTCCTGGCATTGTTTGAGGGGCAGAAATGAGACAATCTAGAGCTCTAGTCTGGCCTTCCTTGGGTTTTGTTGGCTTTCTCTTTTCTCTTTACATCCTATCCCAGGACACTGAATAAACCAACTGCTGTGTCCAGGCCTTATGGTCTAGTTATGGGAGGAAATGCAGAGGTAGATGAATACAATATAACATAAGCCCAGTCTACAGCAAGGACGCATGCAGACGGTGCAGGTGTTTGCTGTCCTAGCAGCCTCCAGGTAACACAGCAGTCACATCCTTCCTAGAGAACCAGAGAGTCGCTTCTGCATAGAGAAGGTAACAGGGACTTGACTGTTCTCATGAGATCACAGTCCCTTTCCATGAAGGACCAGCTTGCCCAGCATCCCTGGAGCAGTGGGTGGTAGGCTTCCAGGCTGTATCAGGAAGCAGGAAGCTGTCTACAGTGCCATTCTACAAAGCTGGTAAGTGTGCCATTGTGCATGTGTCTGTATTGGCAGCTCCAGCATGCTCACTTGCATTAAATACCTGCATCGGTATTTGGAGTTAGAATAGGACACAACCAAAGAGCTTTCCCAGGGAGAAGCACATTGGGTGAGAGGGATGTACAAATGCAGGCTCCATACTCACACTTTCTGGTCTTGTTGCAATAACAGAGCAGAGAGGTTACTCAGTTGGATTACTAATATTGCAAATTGTCTATTCTTCTCATCATACCTGAAATGAAGGGGCGGGTAGAACACCAATCAGCAAATCATTTATTTCCTTCCTTTCTGTCCCTTCCCCATCTTTCTTCCTCTCAAACAGCGTCTCACTGTGTAGCTCTGGCTAGCCTATGAAGACCATGCTAGCCTTGAACGCACAGAGATCCTTCTGCCTCTGCTTCCCCAGTGCTAGGATTAAGGGTGTGTGTTGCCATACCCAATATTTTCTTTCTTAACAGTCATATGTCACTGGGTGTTGGTGGTGCACGCCTTTAGTCCTCGGGAGGCAAAGGCAGGTGGATCTCTGTGAGTTTGAGGCCAGCCTGGTCCACAGAGCGAGTTCCAGGACAACCTCCAAAGTTACAGAGAAACCCTGTCTCGAAAAACCAAACCAAACAAACAAACAAACA